TGGACGCAGATCATGCTGCCGACCCTGCAAATCGACGGTCCAGATATGGTTTCCTTTTCCACCTCGAGCTCACTGGTCATATTTCCTAGAATTCCCAGAAACAAGAAATGGTGGTGCTCTCCTCTGCTGAAGCCGAATTCATCGCTGCCACATCAGCATTTTGCGAAGGCCTTTGCCCTTCAGGAGCTACTCCAGGAGGCGAAAATTGCGATGTCTGCAAGCTTCAAACTTCACTGTGACAACTAAAGCGCGATAAAAAATCGCGAACAAGCCTGGTTTCGGTAACCGCACCAAGCACATCGCACTCCGCTACTTCTTCGTCAAAGACGAAGTTGACAAAGGCAAAGTCATCTTGACTTACTACCCCACTAGTGACATCGCAGCTGACTTCTTCACCAAGAAATTGCCACGTAAGCAGTACTATCACTGGGAAACATCTGCGGCATAACCAAGCGCGTCAAGACTTCGCTCCTCCAGGAAAGAAGGGGAGTGTTAGGATATGGAATAGTTAAATACACATTCCTAAGTAACGAATCCTTAACGCGAAGATGATTGGAGGGAGGACGAAAGACCAAGCAACAAGACAGTTACAAGCAGGAAGAATCCGAAGTGCAAAGCGCGGGAAAACTTCAAACGGTTACCGGACCGCGTACGGTTACCGAACCGCACGTTTGCAATCCTGCATCTAGATTAGCCCTAAGGGGAATGTACCCCCTCAGAGTACATGGCTAGTTAGGACCCTTCGCTCGTTGTACAGTTTCTGCTTCGAAAGTCTTACAATCCCAAGTGGGACTTAGCGAAGGATCGTTTAGGGTTGATCGCAGGTAGTGTTGCAGCGGAAGTGTTAACCTCAGGTCAGAGTGACTGTAAATGACTGAGATGATAATAGCATGCATACATCGAGTTTATATCGGAAGGAACAGGGAATACGAAAAGACATAGACTAGCCGTGTACTCCAGCGAAGTTCAAACTGTGTGGCACGGGAACCAGTTTCAAACCTGTTTTCGCTCTTTTCATTCCAAATGTTTCTGCCTGCATCAGTCTTGGTCTGACGGTTGCTGGTGTCGCTTTGACTCTTCTGGCTCCTCGTCTTCGTACTCGGTAGAGTCGGCTCCTGCAGCATACAAGAATGCCTTCTCATTGAATTTCATTTCGTAACACTCCCCTATATTGCTGGGCGCGCAAGGGGCTGACTCTCTTGACTACTCCCGTGAGGTCCAATCAGTGCTTGTACTGCTGACGTGGCAGTCGCTTGGTGAGGAAGTCGTCTGCCATAGGGCAGTACGCGAGGTCAACTTTACCCTGGTCAATTTCTTCCTTGACAAAAAAGTATCAAAGCGCAATGTGTTTCGTGCGGTTCACGAACCCCAGCTTATTCGCGATTTTGATGGCGCTCTGGTTGTCACAGTGAAGGCGAAAAGTGGGCGGCGCTTCCTGCAGCACTTCTTGCAGGTACAGGCCTTCGCGAACTGTGGCTGTCGCGGCGATGTACTCTATTTCAGCGGACGACAGGGCAACCATCTCCTGCTTCTGTCAGTTCCAGGGGATTGGTCCTGTTGGCTCCAAGCGGAAGACGAAGCCGGTTCGTGGCCGACAATTCGCAGGATCAGCGGCATGATTTGCGTCCACGTAGCCGTTGAGGTTGAAGGAGGTTGTCGTCAGCGTGGAGTAGGAGAGCCCGATGTGAGGTGTTGAAATGAAGTACCGTAGGGCGCACTCTAGGTCTACTGGCTTGCCGGAGTACTGTGCCAGTTTGCTGGCGATGTACGAAAGGTCGGGTCAGCATGTGACAGAGGAGAATAACAGGCACCCCAGTTTCTGCTGGTGCAATTGGAGTCCTACGGGCGACCAGGTACCATTCGCAGCACGTGGTCGAATGATATGGTGTTTCAAACAATTTAGCAGCGAACAATGTGCAAGAATAGGTCTATGCGCAACATGGTGCTGTATCGACGTCCGTTTGTTATTTTCAACAAGGTTTCTCTTGATCATTCAAGCGTTTACTATATTGCGAGCATGTAGACAGATTTGGTACCATTCGCAGCATCTGGAAGGAATCTATTGTGTTTCAAACATGTGAGCCGAGGAAGCTGCGCAAGGACAGGCCTGTGCGCAACGTGTTGCTGTATCGATATTTGTTTGTCATTTTAGACATGGTTTCTCTTGATCAATCAAGCAGTAACTATATTGCAAGCATGCTACATAGAGTTGGTGCCATTCGCAACATGTGGTAGGAAGATATGATGGTTTCAAACAATTGAGCAGGGAAAACTGTGCAATGATAGGCCTCTGCGACTCGTGGTGCCGTTTCGACGTCCGTTTGTAATTTAAAGCAAGGTTTCTCTTTACCATTCATACATTTACTATATTGCAACATTTGAAATGAAAAACTCACACAATAATCAGAGGGTTTGGACCAGTAGAACTTGGTTCGTTCACAAACACGCAAAACCAGACGATGATGCCAAGCTATCAAATTTGCCTGCCGAACAACAAAAAAATGTGTTGTCAGCATGCCTCCTTACTAGGTCACAAAGGGAGCACACCATTCAAATGAAAAGAAAAAACATTTTTGAAAGTGGCAGCAGATGTCAGTGGTAGCCAGAGAATGAGATTGACGTTGTTAGAAGCTTAACTGGTATATCCTGAAATGGTGCATTTTTCGAAAGTTTGCAAATCAATCATTGTTTTGCAGGTTTGTTGTGAAGGTGTGAGGGAGGCAGGAGAACCACTTTAATATCGACCAAAACCACAATAATGCATGATATGAGCAACCAACGACTTTGAAATGTGGCTGTATTTCAAGCCATAAACCAACCGAGTTTGAGTGTTTGGTAATTCATTCATACATTTTAGGGTAATGTGAACATCAAAATATTGTTTAATGATAAAAATAGATGTTACAGTACTCTGCCAATCTATTTCTTCCATTTTGACATATATGTGTCAGAGATTTACAATTTAATAATTATTTAAAATAGGAAGAATGAGTGTATGCTGATGTTCCCGTAGTTCGACAGCTATCAAAACGGTTCAACAGGTGAGTTTTGTTTTATGCTCCTTGTTCTGCTGAGTGCTTGTTGGTGTTGCCACAACTGCCTAGCCAATCGCGTGCGACCACAAGCAGCAACCTGGCGAGTTCCACCACACCCAAATGCTCTCGCGTCACAACGCTGTCGCTCCTAGCCAATCGCGTGCGACCACATGCAGCTTGCTGTTTTTGTTTTTTTCGTCGCCAGTTCGTTTTTATGGCTAAATGCAGAAATCCAGTCAGGTGTTTCGCAACAATGTGACGTGCGAACTTGTAGATGAGGCCGAGTGTGCTGCCGAGCTGGCAATCTCCTCACCTCCGCCGAGCCAATCGACGGAATCGCTGACGTGTTTTAGCACATTTCGCCAGACTTTTCCACCCTTCCCGTTTTCGTTCAGCGTTGAAGTTTTTAGGGTGGCGCGATTGTGTGGCGATGCACCAATGACAGCTTTTGACACCTCAGGCATCTGGCAGTTGCGGGCGCTCGACCAATGAGAGGCAAAGTTGCCATAACCGTCTCGTTCCCTCCATCCCACCTAACACTGCCCTCCCACCTCTCCTTACTCGAGCTTCTGTTTCTCCTCCCTCCTCAGTTCGTGACCACCTAGTTTTCCTACGTGTTAGCCTTCCCGACTTCCTCTCAGTCTTCCACTCATTCACTTCCCGTAGCCATGTTTCAGTAGTTTCCCTCATCCAACCTAGCGATATACCTACCGCTGCTGTAGTAAAGCACCTTATTTGCTACGCGCTGAAGCACAGCTAATTTTCCTGTGCTATCGCAACCGCGCGTTTCAGTTTGTAACTTGATCTTAACGTTCAGAGGTTTTTTTTTTTTTTTTTTTTTTTTTTTTTCTGTTTCACAGCACTTCATGTCGATACGAAGAAGTGTATGGCCGACGATATAAGCACGTTCTTTGCAAGCCCTGTCATTAACGAGTTTGTGACATTCTGTTAAACTAACGTCAAATCTAAGTTTTGTCTAGATCGACATTTGCCGCTGAGATTCGTAGCGGTTTGAGTGCATTTCCTCGACATATTTATGGGCTTGCTATATGAATTACTCCCCGCCATGACCAGGTAAGTTGTGCACCCCATCTGCAGGCCTTGTGTTTTGTCAATACTAACAACTTATCCCTGTTAGTGCTCTTGTGCTCTGAGTCACAGCATTCGTGTCGTTGCATTAGTACCAGGCATGTATGCGTATCTTGAAGTTGATATGATTTGCTGATGTGGTACTTGTGATGCGTATTGTAAGCAGTTTAATGCAAGCTGTCCTAGTTTGTAATGCATGTTTGTATTTATCCATGTAGTAAAACACGCCTCAAATTAAACATGCCTAGTAAAAGGAATTAAGAAAATGATTTTACAGGAACAGAGTAGTTTATAATTAACTGATTTCAATACCGTTTATGAAAACGTAATATAAAACATGGTCTGGTGTACATAAGATTAAGAAGATACAGTGTACTAAGTGTAGTATTCAATTTAATCCTCTCAGAATAGAATTCTCGAAGCGCGTTCGAAGTTCGAAACCAGGCAAAAACCGCCCAGAAAACATTCGGAACTTAGCAGGTGATGAAGCCCTGAAAAGGAGCGAAGAAGCGCCTGAAAAGCACACGAATTACAGTCAAGCCACTGCCTTGGTTTCAGACTGAAAAAGGCCCTATTTTTCAGTCTGATTTCAGCCATTGGTCCTGAACTCAGGCTGAAAACCAGCTGATATTAGGACCTGGTTTTTGTGATGACTAGAAAGTATTTAGTCAAGGGTTAGCCGCAATCTCAATCTCACAATCTAAAACTACTAAAGCAGCCCTCAGTCTCCCACATTTCGCAACCGTTCCTAATCGCCCGACTGCCTTTCTCAACCACCCGAGTAAAGTACGTAGCATAAGATTCGTACGTTCTGGTACCAGCAGCGATTACCGCCGCACTTTTTCCCTACTATAGTGTTTCCCGCATTTTGTCCCCATGGCGCGTTCTCCTCTAGCCTCCTTGCTTGTGGCGGCACTGCTTGTAACCGCGTTATTCGCATCATGCGCACAGGCTAGAATCGGCTCCAACGGACTGCTCGGGAATCGCCTCCCGAACCGACCAGCTCAAGTAACTAGCACCATCACTAGCACCGTGTCCGACCTAACATCCGCGTTACAAGCCCAAGTCGTTTTATTAGAAGGAGCGCTGACGCAATCACTGGACAAGCTTGCAACCGCACTGAACGACAACGCATCCGCGGCGACATGGGCTCTTCAAGCGCAGATTTTCGCCCTCCAGAGCAGCATTGACGCTCTCAACGCACGCATTACCAACCTCGACCTGATCTTATACCTTAGAATCACGCGACCTGGCGGCGTTACTCCCCAGGCGACACCCGTCACGCTCCAGTCACGCATCTCGTCGCTTACAGGCAGCCTTCCCGCCATCAACAAGCGCGCCACATCGCTCAACACGGACCTGGCGGGAATTCTCCTTAACATCCACGCGTTGCTGAGTCAGCGAGTGGCGGCACTCACTCAGAGGGTGGGCACAATGAATGTGGACGTGTTGGCGCTCGCTGCGCAGGTGGACGCGCTGATCTCCCTGCTGAGTGACGCCCTTGGCGTGGCGGACCTCGTGGCTCTGCTGCCGCACCCAGCAGGTCAGCCCCGCCATAACCTCGCTAACCCTGGCCCCACAATCCCAACCCCGCAAATCCTAACTCTGCAAACCGCGCTGTTGTTGTTCCCCGACAATGCTCGTCATTCTTAACAGCCTTGCGTCGCTTTTGCTCATTCTTGCACCATCTGCTGCTGCTACTCATTCTTGCACCATTTCTGCTGTTGCTCATTCTGTATCATCTCTGTTGCTGCTGCTCATTCTGCACCATTTATTGTGCTGCTCATCCTTGCACCATCTGTTGCTGCTCTTTATTGCACCACCTGCTGCTGCTCTTTGTTGCACCACCTGCTGCTGCTCTTTGTTGCACCATCTGCTGCTTCTGTTAGTTGCACCATCTGCTGCTTTTCTTGAGCTAACTATCTACTGCTTCTCTTGATGATCCCCATCACTGCAGGCATGCTGTGCGGCGTGCTCACCTCGTGTGAGGGCCTTCTCCCGGTGGGAGCAGCCAACATCCAGATCACCAACATGTAAGCCACAGCCCCTCACTCTCCTCCAACCTGCACCCTTACCTGTCGGAACCATGCATCGTCTCTCTTAACCGTCTTACCATTGCTTCCCTGGACTTCCAATCCAAATCTGCTCTGACTTTCACAACCAGTGCCGTCCAGCTAAGGTTACATTTATAATGAATATCCCTTGTTGTTCAAACCCCCCACCCCCACCCGCACCCTCTCCTCTCTCCTCCCCCCTCTGTCCCCCACTTCCGCACGGCAGGGGCTCGGCGCACGCAGTGGCGTACGAGCTGGTGGCGACGGGCATGGCGGAGGTACCGCAGGCGGCGGCCATCTACAGCGGCAACAGCACGTGCGGGTAGGCAGCCCCACCCGTGGCTATGCAGCTGCCCGGCACGTGGCAGCTGCTGAGCTCCGTGTCGTGGTCGCTGGCCAATGTGCTCACTGTCGCGCCGGCGGACCTGGCGCCCGTGCTCAGCGCCATCCAGGCGGGCGCCAGTGGGCAGCTCTACATTGGCTTTGCCGGCACCAGCAGCAGCTTGTCGGGCAAGCTGATTAGTGGCAGGTTTTGATGGAGAGGAGAACGGGAGAAGGATGCATGGGGAGATGGTGTTGTGTTCAAAGGAGGAACATTACAGATTCTCCATGATGGCCGCCGCGGTATCGTAGCTGGTGGGATTCTGTGCATTTGTAATGTTCCTTCTTATGCAATAGGACATGGTTTGTACATATAAAATGGAAGTTTATCGAAGCTGACTTATTATCACAATGCTGCTGTGTATCCCATCCACGCTATTGACAGCAGCTGCTGTAGTGCCAAAAGATGTCAGTCATAAAGTAAACATCGCATGACGGAAATCGATGGCCACACCCACTGATAATCCTTCGGGTACACCCCCCCCCCAAAGTGCCCCCTTGCTTTAAATACAGTGTGCGGTTGCAGGTTCTGCTGTTTCTGCTGCTGCATCTGTTTATGTTGCTACTGCTGTGGTGGCAGGTGATGTTGTTGTGGGGGGCTGACCCCTTGGAATTGCACTATGACCTGTCATCATGTTGATGGAACAACACAGGGGCACCATGGCCTATGTTTGGATATTGACTTCTCTAATTACGGTAGCAGTGTAGCATTTGTCAAATTGCATTTGTATGTCTCTAGGCTGTAGTGGGGCATACCCTAAGGGGTACAACACTTTAGGTCAACCCTAGTACTTGTTATCATCCTTGAATCCTAGTCAATCATGTCAGAATCTAACGAGCAGGAATGAATGCATTGAACATGAATGTGGTACAAGTGCTAACCCTAATTGGGTTGTATCCCATATAGGCTACCCCACTACAACCTACACAACACACAACATGATAGTTTGACAAATCATTCCTACGTACTACTTCTCACATGGTATTCAAAGCGGGTCCATCTGTAGGACTGCTTCGTTAGGGCCCACCACTAGTTTAGACCTGCCTGAACTGCGCGAACTTCCCGTACTGCCCTGCCAAACACCGTTCCCCACGCTGCTCTACCTGCGCTGCCCCACTCGCGCTTCCGTGCCCGTCGCGCTGCCCGCTTGCTGCCTAGCGCGTGACCCGCACGCTGCCCTGCTCGCGCCCTGCTTGCGCTGCCTGCACGCGCGCTGTCAGAATCCCAGCCACAAACCATTGGGATAAAAGGGCTTATTTGTGTAGCGGGTGAGTGCGCCCATAACCCCCCAGCCGACGTATCTGTAACCCTTTCTTATTATCAATCGGGGATCTCCAGTGGACCTCTGACACTCGCTGCCTGAGGCCTACACGCGCCCTGCCCGCACATTGCCTGCGCTGCCCACGCGCTGCCTGCACTGCCCGCACGCTGCTGCTGCTGTCCGCGCTTTGCGTTCCCTGCCCGTGCGTTGCCTGCCTCGCTCGCGCACTGCCTGCGCGTTGCCTGCACTGCCAGCGCCCTGCCCGCGCACCGTGCGCCCTGCCCGTGCACTGCCCGCACGCCGCTGGCGCCGCCCGCGCGCTGCCCTTACGACCCGTGCTGCATGCGTCCTGCCCGCACAGCCCGCGCGCAGCCTTACGCGCCCTACTTGCACGCGCCCTGCACACGCTGCAGCTGCTGCTAAGCTGATTGGTGGAAAGTTTTAAAGAATGCATGGGGAGATGGTGTTGTGATCCGAGAAGCAACATCACAGATTCTCCATGAATGCCAATGCGATGGCTTAGTTGGTGTTATTCTGGGCATTTGTAATGTTCCCTCTTATGTAGGACATGGTGTGTACGTATCAAGTGTGAATCTATACCGTAGAAACTCACAATGCAGCTGTGCCCCGTCCATGCTAAAGACAGCAGCTGTTGTAGTGCCAAGCAGGGCCCAAAATGTCAGGGTAGAATACCCTGTTTGCTTTGATGGCAGGCCGCTCTTACCTTGACAAAGTCAGCCTATCAAAATGTTTACCCTAGAGCAAAAAGGCTAAGCTGTGATATACACTGATAAAGAATTCGATTACCCTGGCGGTATCAGGGTATGATGGCAAGTACCGTACACTGATACTGAAACGTTTCTTACTGCGGATTGGCCCACACATCGCGTATAGACACGTTTCACCACGGTCCCACTGCCAGTTTTGTAGCTATCGACCACGCGCAACACAGAAAAATCTTGTAGGCGGCACGCCTGTTCGTCCAATTGGTTGTTTGAGCCACAGTTGCGCCAATGCACCCCCAAATCTAGCCACACCATGCCACGCCTATTGCCATTGGTGTCAAGTAGCGCGCCAAGTGTGTTTCGTGCCGTCATAAGTATCACATTGCAGTCGCTGTTGTGCTGCAGCAACACCCATGCATTTCCCGCGGTGTGCGGGAATTGCTCAGTAGGGGGCTTGGTGTGGTTCGTGTTTTCCCAAGGGGTCCCTTTCGTTTTCTCCATTCTCTCACTTGTTGCACGGTACCTCCAGAAATGGCCCTGGGAGTGTTACGACGCCTGCGGGAGAATTACAGCGTTCCCATCTCGCAGCCACCTCATAAGGCATCTCGAGAATGTCTCGTCGGAACCGTGTATCCTTTCGAGCCTACGAACTCACCGAAGGTGTGGGAGCCACACCCATCTCTGGAGCTAGTTCTTGGCGGTGGTGAAGGCTCGTCGAAGCCGTGCATTGCGTCGTCGTTGACTGTTAGTAGCGCGCTCGGCAAGCGACAATGCGTGGGTGCGGCCGACAACGTGTGGCCGTAGGTTACATGATCCATGCGGCTGTGGATCGCATTGGCCTGGTCATGGAGGTTGCTGGCACCTCTATGATCCATGCGGCTGCTCCCCATTTTCTGTGGCCGGTTGCGGTCCGATACGCTGCGCATCAGCTCAACCTCTGGCCCCGTATCTCTGGGCCAGAAATCTCGCCTACACTGCGTTGGACGGGGGAGGTTGGCGATGCGTCGGCGTTTCGAGTATGGGGCGCACTCTCCCTTGTCCGCGATACCACTGCAAGCAAGCTCTCTCCTCGCACTCTCCTCTGTGTCTTCCTTGGCTTCCCCACCGATGCCCCGCCCTGGCAGTTTTACCACCCTGCCTCGCGCCGCGTCCTGTCCTCACAGGACGTCACCTTTGACGAGCCGGTCTGCTTCTACCGTCTCCACCCGCACGCGTCTTCCCCACTCTCCCCGCCGCCCGTCTTCATGGTCCCAGGTCCCCCCCCGTTCTATCCCCTCCCCCCACAGGGTTCTGCTCCCTCATGTGTGTCTCAGGTCAACCCACCCCCCTTGGTTGAGCCTTTGGAGGTCTTGTTTGACACCCGTGGCCCAGTTGCGCGGGGTGACCCTGCTGTTGACGACACGGCGGCCGCTCGCCGCTCCCCGCGCTTGGAGACCCCGGGTTTTCCACCTCGGCCGTCTTTGCCGCCTCCACAGCCTGTAACTGTGGACTCTGGTGCTGCTGGGGGTGGTGACACTGGGGGTCCGGACTCTGGAGGTGCGGGTCCTGGCGAGGCCGGGTGGCTCGAGCTTAGAGTACTGGCGCTGGAGGTGCTGGAGGCACTGGAGGTGCTGGTGCTGAAGGAGCTGGAGCCGAGGGTGCTGGAGGCAGGATGTACTAGAGGTACTGGAGCTGCTGGTACTGGAGGTGCTAGAGCTGGAGGTGCTGGAGGTACTGGAGCTACTTGTGCTGGAGGTGCTACAGCTAGAGGTGCTGGAGGTACTGAAGCTGCTGGTGCCGGAGGTACTAGAGCTGGTGGTGCTGGAGCTGGAGGTACTGGAGGTGCTGGAGCTGGAGGTGCAGGAAGTTCTGGATCTGCTGGCGGTACGGGTACTGCGCCACGCCGACCGTTTTTCTACCCGCAGTCCATAGTCGTCCCTGCCACCGCCTGACTCGGCACTTCGTTAGGTTCTTAGTCTTCTGTCTTCCTCTGACCTTACTCTCTCCTGTGTCCTCCGCCTGACCAATCACAGCCATAGTTTGTCAACCAGGCAACGGAAAAATGAATTGAGTAGAAAGAAGCAGTACAAGGGAGCATATAGCAAACCCTAAGGGGGTTATACCCTCTACAGCATAACTCAGTGTAACACCCATAGTCTAGGTGACGGTAGTCCTGTGGAAAACAACACACAAACCAAGAGCAGGGTCACAAGACCAGTCAGCAAGAACAAGCAACGGTCACAAGACCAGTTCACAACAACAAAGCAACCCTCGGGTGGATATTAAGATTACCACATAGTCCAAGAACAAGCAACGGGCCACAAGACCGGTCCAGAAGCACAGATATATGATATATAGTGAGATGCAATAGTACCAGAAACGCTGGTGGTCACAAGGCGGCAACGCCTTGGTGAAGATATCTGCAGTGTTGGCCTCAGAGACCACACGTCGCACGAGTGCCTGGCCATGCTGCTGCAACTCTCGCAGAAGGAAGTAACGAAGCTATATGTGCTTCGCCTTCCCAACCACTCGAGGCTCCTCGCGCAACATGATAGCAGACCTGTTGTCGGCGAACGAGACCAGGAGAGCAAGGCTGCTCACCAATGTCGGTGAGGAGGAAAGACAGCCAGCAAAGCTCCTAGGCGGCCATGGCTGCAGCGTACACCTTTGTCTCACAGCTGGAACTAGAGACGGACGACGCCCGAGTCGACCTCCACGAAACAGCTCCGGTCCCAAGGTTGAAGTAGTAACCCTGTGTAGACCACATCGACTCTGCATCGTCGGCCCATGACGAGTCCGAGAAACCTGTAAGTGTAACTTGCAACTTCCCTCCAAGGACAAGTCCCATGCCTGATGTACTCGCTACATACTTCGCCACCCTCATAGCAGCATACCAGTGGGAAGGTCGGTGTCTTCCAGGCACAACAAAGCGCGCAAGGATGCTAAGAGGGTAGGCTAGGTCTGGGCGAGTACAAGTTA